GGCGTCGACCCTTGTTCGGTCCCCTTGTTTTTATTAGACCTGTGCTCAGGGTCGTTCGCATCCGCTTCCTCGGCGTTTATGTAGCCTTGCGCTCGTGCAAGGAATTCCTTATAGCTGGACGGGGGCTTTCGGTTCAGCTCTCTCTTGAAGGGGGTAATTTTTTTCATGCTAGACAATGCTCCCATCAAGGCCTTTCAGTCGGTTATGTCCATCGTGGCGGCGACAGCTTCCCCATATCTTGTAAGCCACTCTCTCAACGACTTGTTTGGCTTCTGATATATCATCGTCAGATTCTGCTTTGGGGGGACATATTTTTTAACCCCTATGAACTAGAAGGAAAACGCTTCCTTCAACTCATCCCAGCTTGAGATAGAGTTTGGCTTTAGCGTCCGAAACCATCTTCGGGCAGAGTCCGTTAGATGGTTCCGGAAGGCTCGGCACATAATCTCCTCGGTATACCCATGTAAGAGCATGTGCCCTGTGTACATCTCCAAGTGATCGTCGAGATCCCTTCGACCGTCATATGGTGGGATCGACGGTGACTTGTATTTATCGGGGAGAGGTGGCGCCATTATTTATGCGGTAAACGGATGGTCGTGTGTGCAGCTAGGCGTGATGTCGACGTTTACCACTTCGGCCACTCGCCCTATGTTCTTTTTTAGGATGGCGACGTCGCCCGTGAGTTTTTACTCTAGATTGGCCATACGTTCCATAATGGCGCGCGCTTCTTCTGCCGAGATGGCTGAGCCAGCTACTCTCGACGCCTCTGCCCTTTGGACGTTGGGTCCGCCCCTTGCCTGCCCGCCTGCCTGTACTGACCCTAAGTCTCCCGGTAGGTTTCCTCCTGGGTTCTGGGGTAGTACCTCGGGGTTCCCCAGGCCTCTCACTATCCGGTCCTCGGGAGCTCGGAGCCCGACGGCCCTTAGACGGCTGCCGGAGGATTGTGAAGGTCGAGGCCTAGGATGGCCTCTATGTTTTTCACTGTCCCCATTCCTTCTAGATCATGTTAGCGGTCACCGGGGTTATGGTTTTCAGCCATGGCAGCTCCCAGCGGCCTCGGGGCGTCTTCTAGAGGCAGCATAGAGTTCCTTCCGTCCAAGCGCTCGACTACGGTCATTAGTCCACGTACCAGGTCAGTTAGAGTGGTTAGTTGGGCCTGCATCTGCACAGGGTCCGGCCGCGGCACATCTGGGGGCGGGACTTCATTTCTGACCTGAGGTGGACCTTCCTCCATCCCGTCATTCACCGGATGTGTGGCGGTTTCGTCCATTTGGCTGCCTTAGTTGATAGCCTCAATTCTTTTTCTTGGAGGCATGCTTGCTGACTATGTTGTTGTTGGGGGTCAAACGTATGAACCAGAGATTCTGGGTTTGATCCCTAATGGAGTCGCATATTGTTGACGGTGAAATCTCGTCAACAGAAATAGGCCGGGTCACCTCTAGGTATCCCGTTGGATTACCAGCTTGATATTGACTGTATACTCAGTTTATGCAATGAAGTGTTTGTTGTATTTTTAGAAAAGTGAGCAATATGAGATAAAATGCTTGAAAGTAGTAGAACACACGAAATTTATAGTGGTTCACTCTGTTAATGAAGAGCTACATCCACTGTAATTTTATATTCCTTTTGAGATTGTTACAATTTACAACAACTGTTGTTCTCTCATTTTTTTCTCTCTCAGGAAGCGAACCTCCTTCCTGTATGGGGCTTTGCCCCTTTTATAGCCGAGCTTCCTTCATCGGGTGGGTTTCCTTTGTAGGCAGAAGCACTCAAGTCGTCTGCCTTTCTAGGCCCAGACCGTAGCCCACTAATCACTTTGCGAACTGTTCACTCAGCCAATTAGTCCCCCATTACGGTTTTGTGCGTACCTGTAACCCTTTTTTGTCCCCCGTAGGGCGGTTTAAGAGTTTACAATTAATGCCTACATTGCATACATCCCCTATTTCTGCACGCAACTTGCGATGTCAGGCTTTCCCCTTTTGGGGTATTCCTTTCGCTGTCTCTGTTTGCTCAGCCTAGTCTTTCTTGGCGATTGATTTTCTCTCGAAGGATTTCCGTCGTAAGGTCGACAGTACAACCTGTCGTCGTCATGAGGAGTCGGCGACCTAAGTTGGGCTTCCTTTGCCGTAGAAGGAAAGGGAGTCCCCAGCGTCGAGGGTTGTTGCCTTTTGAGGAAAAGCAAGGCCACGTGTCACACTGTTGTTCTTCCACGTGTCATCCACATTTTCCCACACAGCAACCACCAAACTCTTGCGCCCATAAATTCATATGGCACAGCTTCATTGTCGTTCAAACTCAAAACCAAGGTGTTGTCTTTTCTTCTCATCTCTGCTCTCAGTCTCTTCTCACCCTTGATGTTGTTGCGGCTTAGGTATGCTTCAACTACGTCATAAGCTTGGCTGCGCGGCTGGTACTTGCCGGTGAACTCATGGAAAGAGATTCGGACATAGGGATTCAGGTAGTTTTGGAGTCTCTGCCTGAACTTGTCTACTCTGCGGCGAATTTCGTAAGGCGAATACTGGCAAATCATCGCCCACACGAACAAGAAGCTAGCTATGGTTGAAGCCATAGAAGCCCACATCTCGATCATTGATGCATGCAACATTTTCATAGGGAGAAAGAGGGAAATAGGCCAAGACTTGAGATGAATTAATATTAATATGCCAATAATTTATATAAGTTAACAAATATGTCAAATTACTATTTTCGTCCATAGCTTGTCTGGTTATGAACCATAACTTGACAAGTTATTGTCCATAACTTATCTGGTTATGAAACATAACTTGATAAGTTTGTCCATAACTTATCTGGTTATGAATCATAACTTGACAAATTTATCCATAACTTATCTGATTATGAACCATAACTTAACAAGTTATGATCTATTAATTTCTATAACTAAAAAATAGCCTATATACTTTCTTAAGCTTTTCATATTGGCCTATTTCCTATTATTTTTCATTTTCATATTCTGTGTAATGAGACGTAAAACGTGAGACATGCCAATTTTCACACTCTCAAAACAAAGAGATCAAACGGATTACTATAGGTAGCCGGTAGCCCTTTGCCTGGTTTTAATTATTTATGAAAACAAGAAAAGGAGAAGAAAAGAGAATGAGATAAGTCAAGTAAGAAGGAGAAACGAAGGATACTTGATAAGGGATTAATAGAGAAAGAGTGAATATAGAGAGAGAAACAAGAACTCTAGAGAGATAAAGAACTGATCACGATATTCATTATGCATTGTCTGTCGAACTGATCACAGCTAGCTACCATATTTAAAGAAATACCAAATAATAAAATAGGAAAGTGAATCAACACCAAATATGGAAATCAATAATGGGAAACTAACCATATCTCTAAAATAACCACTGAAAAAGGACCCCCCTTTTCATCCCATGCGATTTCTGTTCTACCATCCTTACACTTCTCGGGCACTCTACAAATATATATATATATATATATATATATATATATATATATATATACGTACACGCTGGTGTCTTTGCGTGTGTGGACTTATGTACGTAAAGATTCGTAAAGATTCTCAACGTGGTTTTCACCATTTGCTTATAGATAGTTGTGGTGGGAAAGGGGAACAATATTAAATAAAATCAACATATTTAGTTTTTATTAAATAGGAAATTTATGTTTTTTGGTTAGTTTCCCATTGTCAACTTTCCTTGTTTTATTTTGGTCTAGTTTCCTATTTTGTTTAATTAGGAATATATGCTGCTTTAGAAATAGGGTTAAGTCTTCCATTATTGAGTTTCGTGTGGAAATACTTTTCTATTTCTTGAGCAAGTAATGGTTAATGAATATTGAAATCAGTTGTTTATCTCTCTTCACTTTTTGTCTCTATTTCTTGAGCAAAAAAAAAAAAAGTTAAACCAGGTGTTTGGCCTTGCACTTTAAGGGGGGAAAAAAAGGAAAAAGAGAAGGGAATTTGCTGAAAATTGTGTAATTTTATTATAAGTTGAATAAAATTCATATTTATGCTTTATTATCCCAGCTTGGTAAAGCCAAATTACCCATAGTGGCTTTTCAAGATGACTAAAGCCAGAAAATAGGCTTTGCCCTTTTTCACGTTCCTTTTGTTTTGTTTCGCAGGTGTCAAGAAATTGTTGGCATCTAATGATGTTCCTCTTTGGATGTTTGTGATCAGCTCCCATCATACCTTTACCGATTACTTTCTTATATAATTTTTTGGCTTTATCTGGGGCTTTTTCCTTGGAGCACAAGTTTGGAAGCTAAGAAATACAATTATTCATTGTCAGAAATTTTTTTTTTTTTTAATAAAAGGCAGTTACAAATTGTAGATCACATTAGAATTATATCATATTAAAATAAGACAGTTTAACCAATAAATGTGTGATTAATTACAAATAATGGTGGTGTAGAAAATTGTTTTTTATTACAGGTATTAGTTAGTCACTTTCTCCCTCAATAAAACAAGAAGATGAATCATCATGCAATGAATCGAAGTTGATCACGTAGGCCAATGTCCTAACCCATTTATCTTTTCTTGCAAAGTAGATTCCTTGGAAAAATATTTTTAATTTCATTGACTATGACAATCTACATTTAGCAGTGGAATCACACTAATGATTCATACGACATAAAAGTGGTGATTTATCACCCTCAAGAATCACTCTCTTGTCATTCAAAAAAATTGCTCTCATGTAATCCGAAAGTGATATTATCATCAGTTCTGTTTTATGAAGAAGAAATTATTCTCAAAAGCTGCAATATTGGAATCCAAAGTTATCAAATATCAGTTGTTCCTCAATTTATTAAGATGGTGTGTGTGTGTGTGTGAGAGAGAGAGAGAGAGAGAGAGAGAAGTGCTTTCATTTTTCGGCCTGCGTACTTCAACATGGTTTACAAATCTAAAACACTTCTGCAAAAGAAGACAATTAATATGAAAACATACAAATGATATTAACTTGAAAACAGAAACTAGGCACTAGCTATCACAATATTCTTTTAGACAACTATATATATAATCATATCGTATGGATAAATAATACTGTTGAATTACTAGTTCCCTCTGGTTTTTAAGTCTCTTTGTTCTCATCTTGTGGCTGAACTGTCTCTTTCTTCTTCTTAGCTGCAGCTTCCTTGGCTTCTTCAAGAGCGCGAATCAAGTTCGAAAGACACCCCTCGGGATCATCCCGAGGCAATTTTGGCATGAGGTTTTCCGCAACATCAGCAGGGGTGATCTTGGTCTCCGCCATCAAACTCTCGATTTCGTCAAACCTTTGATGCGTCTCGAGATTCAAGTAGTTCTTGGCAAACACTTTGAACCCTTTAAAGCTGCAATAAGAGAGCTCAATATGCTTGTCCATCCGGCCGCTTCTTATAAGCGCGGGTTCCAAATTGTCCACATAATTGGTGGTGAACACAATCACCCTCTCACTCCCACAAGCAGACCAAATCCCATCAATGAAATTCAATAAACCCGAAAGAGTTACTCTGCTGCTTCCCTCTTCCTTTCGTACTTCTTTCTTTTTCTCCTTCTTGGGCTCGTCGGTCATATGATCTTCCTTTGAAGATTTCTCAGGTTTCTTCCTCTCACCGGTAAGATCAAGAGAGCAATCAATGTCCTCAATCACAATTACCGACTTACTAGTCGTCTCGATCAGAAGCCTCCTAAGCTCGGTGTTGTCCCTCACCGCGGTCAGCTCAAGATCATACACGTCATAATCCAGCAAGTTAGCTATTGCAGCCACCATGGTGGACTTCCCCGTACCTGGCGGTCCATATAGCAAATAGCCTCTTTTCCATGCCTTCCCAGCTCTCTCATAGAATTCCTTGTTCCTGCTAAAGACCAACAAATGCTCAACAATCTCCTCTTTCTTCTCGGGATCCAACGCCATTTTTCGAAACTCGCAGGGTGCTCAAACACAATGTGGTTCCACATTGTACCACTTGATGACTTTCTAGAATCACCAATATTGGTATAAACTGCTGAAGGCCAACAAATCCTCAACAATCTCCTCTTTTATCTCGGGGTCCAACGCCATTGTTTCGAAACTTGCAGGGTGCTCGAACACTATGTGATTCCACATACTGCTTGACATCTTATTTGGAGAGCCTGCAATGTTAGTATAAAGCATCCTCTGCCTGTTTCTGGTCATGATTTCCTTTCCTTTCTTCATGACATGCTCCAAATAAGACTTGGTCACTAGCTCTCTATGCTTCTTGCGAAAAATCAGCCGGTACAACCTCTTTCCCTGCTCCTGATACGACGTCGTCGGCGACCTCGAAAGTCTCATCAAACCCCACCAAACTGTTGCACCTTCAAACTCATCTCTCACGTCCTGATAATCATCCATGCTCAAAACCAAGTTCCCGCCATCATTTTCCAAGTCTGCGCGGAGCCTGTTGGCGTTTTCCGATGTGATCGAGCTCAGATAAGCTTCGACCAAGACGTAACCCTTGCTGCGCTTAAGGCGATCCACGGTGAATTCGTGGATGCAGAGTTGGATATAGGGGTTGAAATAGTCCTTGAGCCTTTGCTTTAGCTCATTGATTATGTGGCGAACTTCGTAAGAAGAGTATTGGCAGATGATGGACCAAGCAAACATGAAGATGGCTATGGTTGAGCTAATTGTAGCCCATCTCTCGGCCATTGTTGGGGACACCGTTTGCAGTGTCTTTCCTGCTTGTTGGGTTCTTGAGATCTTGTTCGTTTGGCCTTTATATCCATGGTTGTGAAGGCTCATGAATGCAAGGAAAAGAGAGGACAAAGAGCGTGCCATCAAGACCCAAGACAAGAAAAGGAGGACTTATAGTAAGCAAGTAGAGAAATGGAAGGTGAAGTGAATAGAAACGATGAGCAAATGATTTTGAAAAACCATCTCAAAAGCCTTGGATTAATGGATACTTATATATAATACATGTTCTTTTATTTTTCCCTCTTGTGAAAGTTGATTAGTATGTCTATGCTTGGTAGACAAGGAAAGGTCGGCCTAAAGTCATTTCCTTCATTTCAAACAAAAAGAAACAAATAATAATAATAATAATAATAATAATAATAATAAAAAGGAGAAAAAAATTTGTCCTTTTCCGTTGACCTATAGTGTGCCATGGACTTAAAAATTTATTATTCTCATTGTTATTAGAAATATTTACTATTTTATATCTTGTATTTCGAATTTATAAAAAATTATAAAACATGTATTTTGGATGTTCTCAAAATATACCTTCAAATTGTAAAATTATTCTTATGTTTGATATGTACATTTTCTAGGTCAACATCCACTTTTCGCCCATGAATTGACGATCTTACCCTTTGCAGCTTAGCTTAAACATAATATCTAATTCATGTTTGATTATATATTACAAAGTTTATCCATAAACGACAAAAAAGTAAATTTGTCAATTTAGGGCGTCAACATTGTGGTCCCGTTCATTTCATCGATTTGAGTTTATAATTCAAATTTTACTACAATAAAAAGTTCACAGAAACAGTCACATCTAACTTTTTTACTACAGTAAAAAGCTCCCACATAAAGTCACACCTCAACTCGAATCAGCGAACTAAACATGCCCTTAAGTATTTAACTGTTAACTTGTAAAAAAATACAATTTGATATGAATATGATCTCGGAATTACAATCTTCAAGACATTCAAAATGTAAGATATAGCTTCTACGGTGAGACCCCTTAAAAAATCCACTGATAGAATATTCTGTTTTGACTTTTAGATTAAGTTTTTAATTGTCAGATTTGTGCAAATCCGTATTAAAAATTTACAACGCTCTGCACAAAACTGGTCGGTCTGTGAATCTGACGGTTAAAAAAGTAATCTAATGGTCAAAACAGAGTATTCTATCGGTGAATTTTTTAGAATGTCTCACCGTAAAAAAAAAGCCTACTTTTTAATGTACTCAAAATGCAAGATGCAAGTTATACATGGTTTTTTCTATTCAAACCAAAGGCTCTGGTCCAAGTGTTCAGACTCATGCGACTTTAGGTGAAGAATGGTATACTGTGAGTGTAAGTGGTCAGTTTTGGAATTAGGTGAAGAATGACGTATTTTATGCGGCATGGAATTTGCTTTCTTTACAACAAGTATTTCACATTTAGTCCATCCTTAGTACCACCAATATTGAGGCAAAAAATGGGGCCTACTTTCTTCATTTCTTCTTGTTTTTTAGCATGTCTATATTCAAGGTTTTGTGATTGCTTTGCTAAATCTATGAAGAAAAAACATTAATTAAGTTGAGAATTCAACTTTCTTTTTTGACATATGTTGGACCCACATTCAAAACCACAACCAATCCCTGGAAGTTTTGGGTTTCTATGTTGGACCCACATTCAAAACCACAACCAATCCCTGGAAGTTTTGGGGTTCTCTATCAAACTGACCTGAGTAATTAATTTTCCGGTGAGGAAAGTGTTGCTTAATTTAGATTATTAAGATTTTGAAGCAAAATTTGGTCCAACAATAAATCAACATCCTTGAACAAGAGACTAATACCAAACATAGGTTCAGGAAAAACACACCCCTACACCAGCAGAAAAAAATAAACTGAAATAAATAATAATAAAAAAAAAGATAAGACATTGGTTCAAGGGATGGAGAAAAAAATTCACTAATAGTTTTAGAATTGCACACTCAATAAACATTCTCAATTTTTCTCTCTACTCAAAACCCCTTACACCCTTTGCATATCTCTCTCCTCACTTTTCTCTCTTTCTCTTAAAAGGAGACACTCTTGCTCTGCAGTTCTGTAACACCCTGAAGAATTAAATGAGATTAATTAGGGTAATTGAGATTATTAGTGTGCCTAATCTGATATAATTGATTGAGTTTTGATTAATAAATGTTTCTGACGTGTAATTTAAATAGTTCCAAGGTATTTAAATTATTCTCAGTAATTTTTATTTTTTTAACTCAGAAGTGTGTATGGACGCATTTCTGGACTGTTTCCTTTAAATGTTAGTACATGTCTATTTTCTTTTCTTTTTCTTTTTCTTTTCTTCCTTTTCTTTTTCTTTTCTTCCTTTTCTTTCTTTTTCTCTTCCTTCCTTCCCGTGCACTTCTCTCTCTCTCTCACTCTCACTCTCTCGTTCTCTCACACTCACTCTCTCTCCCTTGTTTTTGTCTCAAATCAAACCGGATTCGAACCAAGGAACAATTTAAGAAAGTTTTCAACGTCAAGAGAAGGATTCGAGGTAAGATTACTGGAAGGACCTCTCTTGAATCTCAAGTTTTAAAATTTTAAAAACTTATTTTTGGTTCGAAACGGATCTTTACGGATTTTAAGTAAAACCTTGGTAGAAATTGGAGATCTTGGGTTCTTTGGACTTGTTTTAGGACCTAGAACCCGGATCTAGTGGTTTTCCTTTAAAATATTTCGATTTGGGACTGAGATTGCAGGTTTTCAGACTGGTTTTCCCGAGCTTCTCTCGCGCAGCTGGTGCCATCGGTCGACCAGTCTGGTCGACCAGATCACATGGTAACCGGTCGACCGGATTGCATTGGCCTAACCAGTCGACCGGATTGCACACCACTGGTCGACCGGTGGTGATGCACTGTTGTGTCACTGGTCGACCAGTTGACCCGGGATCTGACCCTGTTTGGCTTGAAATTACTGTTTTGACCCCTGTTTTCGGGGAGAACCGAAATTAGCTTCATTTGGGGACTTAAGATGAATGTATTAGCATCTTTAATCCTTGTTTTGAGATTGAAAACCCTTGGAATGATATTTTGAAACATGAAAATGGATTAGGGCACACTAATTGGAAACCTTGGTATCTAATTGAGATTGGATTACTTTAGGAATGAGAATTAATCCTAAAGTGTTATCTTGCATCAATGATCGCTGAGGATTCAGACTGAAGGGGCTTGAGGAAGCAGAAGCCAGAAAAGGCAACGCTAGTCCCAGATTTGATAGTGCGATGTAGGATTTCTATCCCTTTTCCTTATGAGCCTGATTTTAAAAGAATTTTGGCCTTGGAAATGTTTTAAAGAAAGAGGTTGGTTTGCGAAAGAAAAACTCTTTGAAAACCATGGCTTGTTTAGTTTATGTAATCCATGACTTGTCCTGTCCATGGAATCCATAGCTTGTCTAGTCATAGAACCTCATGGCTTGCCCAGTCATGAGGCTCGCGGCTTGAGTAGTTCGTGGGGTCATGATAACAATTTCAGAAAGTTAATGAATGATTTCTTAAACTAAGAGATCTTGTGAACTGGTAAAAGAGTCTATTGCTGTAAGCCTAGATAGAATGCGGATAGTGCATCCTCAGGGGCAGAACCCGAAACTCGATCCAGGTAGGCGAGGCACTTGGTTAGGTAAGTAATTTGTACTAATTACTTGCTGAAACCTGTAATATAGAGCTTTTACATTTATTTCCTTTGAGAAAAATAATGTGAGGTTCCGACTGTCTGTTGGAATTGAATGTCTATTTATTCATTTACCCATGTATTTATTTACTCGCACAATTATATATTCATTTATTTTTAAGTCATTTCAAATTATTCCTACTGGGCCTTTCGCTCACGTTTTATGTTTTAAATGTATTAAACCCCTCCCAGGAGATTCTAAGAGTGGTGCACAGTAGCTGGATATTTGCTACGGAGTAGCTGAGTTGTGCTACGGATCGATCAAGTGAGGATTGTGTTCATCTTCTGACATAAAAGTGTAAGGAATAGAGAATTCTGTAAACTCATATAATATTTGGATTAATTAGACTGTGGTTAATGTCTGTTGTAATTGACTATTTACATGTTCATGTATGTACAATACCGTATGTCCTGTGGGTGGAGCCCTGTGTGTTGTCAGAGGCTCGAGATTCTGTAATTTATTTATATTTTAATGCAGTTAAGTGGGGCTCGTCTAGGAATCTGCTTTATTAACCTCTAATCGAGCTCCGCGTCACCCACCCCGTTTGGGGGGGGAGGGGAGGGCGTGACAAGTTCTCTCTCTAAGCACACAAAACTCTACACAAACCACTTATTTATAGACTCCTATGAGCCATAAAATAACTCTTGCCCAACAACATAAAACAGTAACTTACCCAAAAAATACAATATAATTACTCTCCTAAAACCAATTTGAGGCAATTACCCAACAATCTCCACATTAACTCAAATCCTCTCAACTCACTCATTTGGGTATCCAATCTCGACACTCGTCATTGCAGTCCTCATGGATGAGATGACAACGATGCTACTTCAATAAGAATAAACATGTGTCGAGTTCAAATTTTCATCAAACTTGACTCGAGGAACCGACTTCTTTTTCTTCAAAATATCTTCATTGCCATAAGTTGTCACCATCTCACATTTATTGTCTTCAACTGTCATCATCGTGTTGCACTCTTTTACTCCTGCAACTTCTTTCACAATAGAAGAAGACTCTTCGTGGCTTGGTGGCTCCACCTACAACTGTAGTCCCAATCAGCTTATACAAGTTTTTTACTTCTACACCCTTCATAGCTACTAAATCACCTCTCTTGACTTGTGTAAAACCATCCTTCGCATAATACTCACAACCTAAAGTGTCTAAAGCCCCTAAATAAATCAAACTTCTCCTTAATTGAGAAACATGTCTAACATTTGTCAATTTTCTCACAACTCCATCAAACATATTCACCTTCACAGTGCCTATTCCAACAGCTTTAACACTGAATCATCGGCCATCTGCAAAGTACGGGCATCACATGGCTTATAAGAATCAAACCACTCCTTATATGGGAACATATGAAACGAGCATCCAGAATCTAAGATCCAAAAGTCAGAAATATTTTCATCAACAATAACTGAATACACATATCTTAACTGTCATACTTGTCGCCAACAATATTTACAGAATTTG